CTACGGGAAGAAAACTGGTATGAACACCACCCAGACCCGGTTACGGAGATAGGACCTATTACAATTCTATGGGATTACACAATACACACTGACAGATCAATCAAGGCCAACCGCCGAGATATTGTTATTAAAGACCACAAACAAAAACGGTGCCTCCTTATTGACATGGCAGTCCCTGCTGACTGCAATGTATCTTTGAAGATATTCAAAAAGTTGTCAAAGTACAAGGACCTTGAAATAGAAATCTCGAAAATGTGGCATATAGGAACATCAACAATCCCTGTTTTAGTTGGAGCCCTAGGACTGGTTGGAAAAAGATTGCAGTAGACTAATTGAAGGGATTCCTGGAAGTCCATGCCTCAAGGAGATACAAAAATTGTTCTGACAAGTACAACCCACACCTTACGAAGGGCTTTATCTATGTAATTTAATTTTTTTTTTTTTTCAGTGGAAAGTGTCATGACGCCATTTTTAACCTCCCGGAAAGAAATGTGTAAACGCCAGAAATCAAAGAAAATAATAATAATAATAATAATAATAATAATAATAATAATAAATTTTCTTAACTATTCTTTCAACTTAATCCCGAAAAGTGAAAAACAATTTTAACCCAGCGGCGAAGTATAAATAAAGAAATCTGTGAGATTTTAAATAGGGAGCCGAACAGACGGCTTTGTAAAGCCTTGGGGTGAAAACAAACAATGGGTCAATAAACCAATCTGGCAACTTTGTTTTGACGCTTCATACACGGGAAAAATAAAGGCAAACAAACAAACAAGAAATCAGTGTTGGAACTTAGCCCGCTGTTCTCATAAATGAAAACTATTCGCGTACAAATCCCCAAGAACATATTGATATAATAAACCAGATTACAATCAAGGAATGAATGTCAAAAGGTGATGTTTTCATTCATAATGCATAGATAAGCTAAATTTATTTAGAGAACCAAACTTAGAGAAGAAAAATTCTCAAGTCAAAGCCAGGGGATTTTTCTTTGCTTTTTTGGTGGGGGGGGGAGTAACCAATTATTTTTTTTAAATCACTAAACAATGCTCTTGTAAATTTCGATTCTTGAAGAAGCTTTTGGATATTTTTTTAATCATTTCACCCCACGCAAGGTAGAAAAACCACTAAGACAGAAGGGCTTACTGGGTGTAAAGGAATAATAAAAAATAAAAAGAGAAACATCACTAATGAGCAAGAACAATAGAAAAGCAATCAAGAAGACGGAAGATAACGATTGACATTGAATTTAAATTTTTGAAGATCAAAGATGGCTTGAAAGGAAGGAGCCAAAAGAGAGTTCCACAAGCAAGAAGTGCGAGAAAAGAAACTGTAAACATAGAACTGACGGTTACATTTAGCTAATTCAACGGCGAATTGATGAGACCTTACCGCCAATCTAGTACTGCGCTTAAATTCTTAAAGTCTCTGCTAAGAAGTATAAACGCAAATTTAATCAACCACTGTTTAACCTTCCATTCGAATTATTTTCTTAAATAACCTTGTCAGATCTCGACTCGTGGATGTCATTCATTGAATTCAACTCGTCCAGAAGACAATTCTTAATTAGACATGATAGACTGGCGCTTAAAAATCACAAGGAACTTTGCCAAATAACAAAAATCATAAGAGGCTTTGAACACTTGAACACTTTGAAAAGCAGCAACAAAAACGGATAGCATTTAAAACAAGATATTCTGATGATATGACTATATACCTGATCACCTCCAAATATTTGGATGATCTGGGTTTGGCAGTTGATTACCTAGTGAGGGAAAAACTGGCTGATCACATTCAATGCTTCGAAGATCAAACTAGTTACATTCCATCATCACCGATCGGACCCCGAACTACCGCCAGCTACGATAAACGGATGTTCCCTCGGGGAAGAGAGACTATTGGACCATAAGCACACCTCAGACCTCAAATGGAACTCTTACGCAAGATCCATCGCCAAAGTTGCAGGAAAAAATAGTAGGCTCCCTGTATCGATCCAGTAAGTACCTGACCCCTCATGTTGTCTTCTAACTTTAGAAGAGCCAGATAAGGCCGAAAATGGAGTACTGTTGTCATATTTGAATGGGAGTTGGCCTGTCCTCAATTTCTAGTCCTCACATTCCAGTCTAGATAGAGTTCATAAGCGTATACGAGTCCTTTTGGGTGACGAATTATTTTCCACCCTACAACCTGTCTCTCACAGACGGTAAGTGGCGAGCCTCTCGCCGCTCTAGAGCTACGACTCGCCACATCCCGCCTGTGAGAAACAGGTTGGAGAGTGGAAAATAATTCTTTTTTCCACAAGGACTCGGAGACGCTTTTGGACTCTATCAAGACTGGAAATGTGGCCACAGTACTCTGTTTTCAGCCTGATCTGGCTCTTATAAAATAGTGGATAGCATGAGGAGTCAGGTACTTACTGGAGCGGTACATGGAGCCGATCATTTTACATGCATCTTTAGCGATGGATTGATGTCAGGTATGGTTAGGTATGAGTTTGAGGCCCAATACCCTCTCGAGGAACCGGAGTCGCCGAAACGTTGGAGGATATGCGTTCATCAATACTAGCAATAGTTCGGGGTCTGATCCGGCGGTGATGGAATATAACCAGTTTATATATATATATAATATATATATATATATATATATATATATATATATATATATATAGAAAGATAGATAGATAGATAGATAGATAGATCAGAAAGTGGATACAACGTCTAAAAACACAATATCCAGCCGGGCTAAATCATAAATTTAACAATATATAGATAGTAACAATATATAACTCAACAAATCAAAACCTACCCACATTTCTCACCCACACAAGACAGACATGCTTACGGAGATGTGGAGGCCTCACACTTATACACACACCCACACGAATATACACACTTACACACATCATACTCACTCACTCCCTAATGAGTCAAATGATAACACACACCCACAGCAATACACACGCTTACACATATACTCACTCACTCCCTAGGAACCAAATAACACACACACAAACACTAAACAGAGACACATCCCCTCTCCAGGACCAATAAAACTGTCAAACTGACCAAGTGAATTCAGAGAAGTATAGATCCATCCAGCTCTTATCTCAAATAACAACTTAAAAGAGACTGTTTGACCAACACAAGGAATGTTAAAAGATTCATGTTAAAAAGATAAAAAAATAAAAAAACAAATGAAAACTATAGACAAAAGTTCATTTTCTCCATCAAGACATTCATTTCTGTAGTTTACTGCTACCAGCAAGCAGAAATATTTCTTCTCCTGATGATGGCCATTTTTGGGCCGAAACTAGTCGAGGAATCTAAATGAAATAATAATAATAAAAAAAAAACACGAAAGAATATTAATCTACAACCCAGTGTGTCTGAAGATTTTAATTTTTTAATATTTTTTTATTGTTCAATATATATATATATATTATTGCATAATATATATATATATATATATATATATATATATATATATATTATGCAATAATCCATTTCATAAATTATTTTAACGTACAAACAAATATATATATATATATATATATATATATATATATATATATATATATATATATATATATAAACAGTTTGATTAAAAATAATTGACATGGACTGTTTGATTTTTTATTAAACGTTCCCAACTTTCGGATGAGATGCTGAATATTATGTTCGAAGTTGTGGATAAACTGCCCGATATTCATTTGTCACTTTTGTGCAGTTTGTATGGTATTTTTTTCAATCCTTTATCTGCATCTTGGCATTCATTAGGACGCTGGACGTTTGAAATGATCTAACCTGACGTCATGTATAACTGCTATTGGGAATGAGACAGTACAAAACAATGAGATTTATTCATTTTCTATTAATTAATTTATTTGTTATTTTTAATACTAATATAATCGAAAACCGAGTTCGAATTCCAGTCAGATCCATTACATTCACTTACGTGCTAATACCCTTGAGAAAGATATGTATCCTCTTCTTCTTCCCCCCACCCAGCTATGGATAAATAGCAGGACAGACCGGGTTGTATAGCTTTGGATTGCAACTGGTCTACCGCAGAAAGAAATGGCAACCTATTGCGGGAAAAAATCTGCCTCGTCAGTCATGTATCGAAAGATACATGATCGCCTACGCGTGTATCACACATGGCACATAACTGACTGACTGTACATTTAATCAAGCACACTATGGGTAAATAGCAGGACAGACCGGGTTCTATAGACTTGGATGGCAACTGGTCTACCACAGAAAGAAATGGCAACCTACTGCGGGAAAATATCTGTTTCGTCAGTCATGCATCGAAAGATACATGATCGCCTACGTGTGTATCACGCATGGCACATAACTGACTGAATGTAATATGTGCGCTTATCAATTATATTATATTCACTTCAAGATACCATCTTCTGTGGTGGGAGATTTCTAATTTAATCTGATTTTTTTTTTAATTTTGTATGATAATAGCTTCTAGAGATCTGAGTGTTGCCAGAACCTTTCTTTTACCTTCTGTCAGAATGGCTGATGGTGATAGAAACTAATGAAAGGTTTTCTCAGGTGATTAAAAGAAAGCGGTTTCATTTTGCAGGTGTTAAAATTAAGTCATTTCTTGCTCCGGTTAACAACGGATTTTAGGTTAGTTTTTTTAGATCAGCTGCCAATTTGACCTTATTGAACTAATGAGATTTAAGATTAAGACAGGAATAAATATTTTTGTCGTTAGCATAGATACCGAGTGATATTTTTTGTGACTTTTGGAGCCAGCAGTCATACATGGGATTTTTCCCAAGCCAGAGTTGTGACTTGTGTTTTTTTCCGTTCATATATCTACCATATCGATGTAATTGTTATGACAAAAATATAATATAACAGAAATAATGAATTAAAATCAATCTAAAACTTAAGTCAAATTTGATTGTCGAAACACTGACTGGTACACAAAAAATGTGACACAGTACAGATATTTCAGTAATAAAGTAAAATTTAAAGTCATCCATATATGTGCATGTGTGCGTGCGCGATAGAAAAAGAGAGGAAGAGAGAGAGAGAGAGAGAGAGAAATAGGGGGTTGGGTTGTAAAGTGAGAAAAAACGTAATAGAGAAAGACACACATATAAAGGGTGCTCGAATAAGATTTGGCAATATTGCTTTTCATACATAATTGCCATGACTTAAATAACATGATCCAATAGAGAAATAAATACATTTTCACCAATAACACTGATTTCTTTACTGCTGACTTTGATCCGTCTTAATGAAACATCCTTATATGTAATCCGTCTTAATGAAACACCCTTATATATATAATCCGTCT